GTCCTTGTGTTTTTAAAACTGACTCAATTGAGTCCTTACTTTCGTAAAAAACAATTAATCTAGCATTTTTCGTTAAATTGACCTTGACGTCATACAAAGGTGTCACGTGTTAAAGTATGAATTTGTCATGTGTCAAAATCAACATCATGTTCTACTTGAAATTGCCACACACTAGTAAAAAAATAGTCTTTTAACGCGTCTAATACGTCTCAGTTTTTACAAAATTAAAACACATTAAAATGCAGTGGCATTTTTGTAGTTAAGGCGAACTTATATACCTCGGTTAAGTGAGAACCGAAGCCTATGCACTCTAGTGCCTCAATTATTTACGAAGTATAAAATATTATTAAATATTATGTATTATATTTTACATAATTATATACTTGATTTATAATATATATATATATATATATATATATATATATATATTTGTCTCCAATAAATAACGAAAGACATTCAAAAAATCTTTCTTTTTCAGCTCCTCCTCTTTTTTGCACTGTCTCATGCTCCAAGGTTTTCTTGCACTGTCGTCACTCCCAATGGTCGTTGTGTCTTTCATCCACCAACAACTTGCTTTTGCACTCCTACTTCTTTCCTTCTCCAACTCACGCGCTACTTTTACTCTTTCAGTAGCTGTGAGCCACCCTTCTCTTTCTACTCGCATGTGTCCCCTAGTGGACGTAATCAACGTAGTGGATCCCGCTGAAATGGTTCATTTGGTTCGTTTGCTTCTTCTGATATAGCTCTTTCTTGATCATGACAACCACTCCAGTCTATTCCTTGAAAACCCTAGGGTTGGACTCCCCCTCCTTAGGGCATGTCTCCTTGCCTTATCTCACATCTCAGTCGACTCGCCCACATGACCTTCCCCAATAACCATTGACATTGTCACTGCTATCCAGACCATTTCCTTAACACCTCCTAATAGCACATGTTACATGTGGAATCACAAGATAATCTCACTTCTTATTCTAATTTGAGTCATTTAAATAAGACATTAATTTTGGCAGTGATTAAGGTATTCCAATTCAGGGTTTCAGTCGCACAATCTTTCTTACATCAAATCACCATAAACCTTTCAACCTTAGCCACATCTTGCACACACCACATATTATAAAAAATTTCATTTTTGTGTGATAACTCACTATTGATAATAAATTTTCTATTTCCTTTGACCATTTTGGCTTTTATGTTTCTGGTTTCAAGACAGGGATCCCTGCTATGAGATGTGATAGTGTTGACAACCTTTATCCTATCACCAATCCCACTCCTTTTATAGGTCTAGCTTCCGATGTCTGGCACAAATGTCTTGGTCATTCTAGTTCTTCTATTTTGCAGTATCTTCATAAGAATAAGTTCATCGTCTTTGAACATTTGAATTCAAAAACTATTTGTAATTTGTGTCTGTTTGGCAAACATGTTAAGTTGTTTTTTGAATAATGCTACTTTGATACCTTTTTATATTTTATAGAGTGATATTTTGACATCACTTGTTTTAAGTTCCTCCATTATGTTTTATTTCTATATGATTACTCTGATTTCCCGTGGACGTTTCCTTTAGGTACTAAATCTCAAGTTTTTGAAAAGTTCACATCTCTCACTAATCAAATTCAAACACAATTTTCACAAAATGTTAAATATTTTTTGTTGAAAGTCCCACATCGACTAGAGATAAGGTAAATTTAAAGTATATATGTGGGTGCAAACCTCACCTTACAAGTTGATTTTGTAGGGTTGAGATAGACTTAAAGTCCACTTCTTAACATTTTTAATGTGACAATAGGAGTGAGTACAATGATGCATTGTTTCATCGATTTTGTGATGATAATGATCTTCTTTTCCGATTCTCTAGGTCTCAAACTTATTCTCAAAATGGCAAAGCAAAATGTTAAATTTGAACCATTAACAACATGATTTGTATTGTTCTCACTCATTCATTTGTTCCTTCTTCGTTTTGCCATTACACCTTTCAATTGGCCACTTATCTCCTTAATTTATGTCCTCGGAAGGCCTTGTTGAATCAGTTTCCTACTCAACTTCGGTATTATCGTGATCCCTCTTATACGCATTTGTGAGTCTTTGGTTGTCTTTGTTATCCTTCATTCCCCTTTCCTACCATTAACAAACTACAACCACGATTGGCTCTGTGTGTTTTCTTGGGTTATCCCCTTAATCACAAAGATTATAAATGTTTTGATTTGTCTAATAGAAAGGTAATAATATCGCGACATGTCATTTTTTACGAAACACAATTTCCTTTTGCCTATATGCCTTCCTCCCCTATCTCTACATATGAAAGTTTCATTGAAGACTCACATCCTCCCTTGTTCATCCCTGGCCCAACCATGACGTGAAGCCTTTGCCTAACCCACAACCTATAAGATTACCCTCCTCTTCATCAAGTACATCAACCTCCACGACCAACCTATCTACCTCACCTACTTCATACCAGTCTGCCCTGCCTCCAAATCCTAACCCTCCATCACGACTCACCCCTCCTAGTAGGACCATGGACACTCGTAGCATGATCGGTGTTTACAAACCCAAAAAGCTCTTTAAGCTTTTTGTTTCCATTGTCAATTTGATGATATCACGTCTTCCCAAAAATCCAACCCTTGCTTTATCGAACCCTAATTGGAAATTGGTCATGCAAAATTTGATGCTTTAATTAAAAATAATACGTGGAATTCGGTTTTGCATCCTTGTATTTAATATCATTCCTTGTATGTGGATTTTCATACATGAAAGAAAATTTGATGGCTATTTTAAGTGTTACAAAGTTTGTCTTGTAGGTGATGGTAGGTGTCAAATTGTAGGTGTGCATTTTGATGAGATGTTTAGTCCTATGATGAAACCTACGACCATTCACACTGTTCTCATCATTCTCTCTCCAAATCCTAACTCATTCATCAATTGAATGTTCATAATGTCTTTCTCCATGGTGATCTACATGAGACTGTATACATGCATCAATTATTCTGTTTTCGTGATACCCTTCATCCTGATCATGTTTGTCACCTAAGGAAATATCTTTGTGGTCTAAACCAAGTGTCCTGTCTAGTATTAGGGCTTTGCTAACTATGTTTCTACCATTGGGTTCTAGCATAGTGCTTTAGATCACTCTTTCTTCATCTACCATTATGGTTTTAACATGGAATACATGTTCCTCTATGTTAATGACATCATTCTCATCACCTCATCCCATGAGCTTTGCAAATCTATCATAGCACTTCTTGCCTCTGAATTTGCTATGCAGGATCTTAGTCCTTTAAGTTATTTTCTTGGATTACTGTGACAAGGCATACAAGAAGCTTGTTCATCAATCAGAGCACTTATGCCAGTAACATCATTGCATGCATCAGTATAACCTCTTGCAATCCTTTTGCTACTCTGGTTGGTAGTAAGAAGAAACTCAATACATCCTCTGGCACATCGTATGATAATCCCACTATGTACCAACGTCTTGTTAGTGCCCTATAGTATCTCACCTTCACTCACCCTAACATTTCATATGTTGTTCAGCGGGTCTATTTTCTCATGCATGCCTCCTGCACTGAACACATGCTAGCATTGAAATGCATTATGTGTATGTTTAGGGTACCTTACAATATTGTTTGACCTTTACCCAACCTCTATTGAGAAACTTGTTAAGACAATATCGTCTAGGAACCCTTTATTTTGAAGTTTAACAAAAGCGTCTAATGAAATAACGTCTAAAAAATGATCGTCTAAGATAACACACTAAATGTTATCTATGTTTAAACAATATCCTAAATGCTAAAGAGAAAAGTTTAGCATAAATGTAATAGATTAATTTAAATGCAATGTTTTGATAAATAGACTAGCGTAAACTTTATAGTTCGTGGACCATGCTAAACGCTATGATAAACGTTGAACGTTTTAAATCCAAATGTACAAATAGTACTTTTTGTATGTTGTGTTGTTTCTCTTTATGCATATCATATAAGGACAAAATATTTATTCAAAAGTTCTACACTAGTTCAAAAGAACGCTAAGAGATACGAAGACATTCTAGGAATGTTTCCTTAATGCCTTTTGTCTGCCCAATTCGTACAAGCAACATCTCTACAAAAATTGTTGTCTGTATAGGATAGATAAAAACAATTGTCACATTATAGGGTGATTTAACCATACTCAGACTCTCTAGTTCAAAGTTGTTTCTATATTTTGCAAGGGGTACACGTGCAAATGATAATAATAGATAACAAATACTACTAGAAATTCACCAAAATGAGCTCAATCAGTAAGATATTAGGAGGGGAGGGGAGACTAGTATGTCACCTGTAATCTAATACATGAAAATATTATATATACAATGGAAGAAAACAATTAACATAGTTATAGGAAGAGAAACAATTTGTGATGACAAAACATTGGTATGCATAACCTATGTCTTTCAAATATGTTTGGTTTAAGGAACCAAATTTTATTAATGCATATCTAAGTATATAAGAATTATGTACGGATGAAACTTTTGGGAGGAAACTTTAGAGACTTGAAGGAAGTATTTAAAAATTGGGAGAGGTTAGGAGATTTTGAGAAAAGAAAAAATTTATTGTAATATTGAGTGCTTCAATTTTTGGCTTGATTACATATGATCCAATTACAAATACATCACCCCTGTTTATACTAGTGACACATCCTCAACCAATAATTAGGATATTGTGACTATAACATTAATCTAAGAACTATAATTCATTCTCTAGAAGTTTATAAAAAATTTTGATTCTAAACATCATATGAATTTATCTAAAAACATCTTATGGATAAGCATTCTCTATTTGTAATTCATTCTAAAATTCTTTTAGATAGGATTTTTTTTTTAATTTTATTTGAGTTTTTTATAATCTCGGACTTTTATTTTATAGACTCAAAATACAAAATCAATTTATCGTTTCACCATAAACAAATAAAAGGTTATATACTATGGCATCCACCATACCCAAATAAAAGGAGAGTTATATACTATGAAGAAAAAACGCTTAAATTTGTTCAAGTCTCCACCGGTTAGGCTTCTACATTACATGAGATATGGTTACATGAGTAGACTTGGTGAATTGTTTTGTACAGATAAACAACGCGGGAACAGCTACAACTAAGAGTCATTTAGATCATACTGCAGAAGATGTAGCAGTAATTATGGGTACAAAGTTTGAGGCATGTTTCCATCTATGTCAACTAGCACACCCACTTCTGAAAGCATCTGGGTACGGCAACATAGTATTCATATCCTCTATTTCAGGTCTGAAAGCTTTTCCTCTTTGTACTGCTTATGCTGCCTCCAAAGGTACGTTTCCATGTCTTTATATCCCTGTAATTAGATGGTACCTTGAGAAATTGGAGTTGCAGAAGGTAATCAACATGCATCTATAAATTTATTCAGGAGCTTTGAATCAATTCACAAAGAACATAGCATTGGAATGGGCAAAGGATAATATTCGTGCAAATGCTGTGGCACCTGGACCTGTTAAGACTGAACTTTTGGATTCTATCATGGTATGCATGCATTCTTTGCTGTTCAAAACTACATTTTTTAAAACAAAACTAAATGGGCATGTATGATTTATAAAACGAATAATCAAAGAATTAGAACATCCATTAAAGATTGAGAAACTTTATAAAAATGTATCAATAATCATATTAATGAAAAATTTATTAAAATGGGTTGGATTTCAAACTCAAAACATGTATTGTTGTTGTCATAGGAAACTAGTGATGATATTGAGAAGCAAGTGGAGGCTTTGGTGTCTCTATCACCAGCTGGTCGCATTGGAGAACCTAAGGACATATCAGCCATGGTTGTTTTCCTTTGCCTTCCAGCTGCTTCATACATCACTGGACAAATCATAACAGTGGATGGGGGTTCTATAATTTAAGTTTTTATAACCAAAATAAAATTAATTAATTAATTAATTAATTAATTAATGCCCAGAACAAAAATCTCTGGACCAACTTGGTTTCTCTGAACTGGGAACTTATATTTCAAGGGTTATTATATGTCTTTAAAACTTCTTGTTATAATTTTAAAGTTAATTCCATACAGAATTGCTTTATGTGGTTTCTTTGTGTTGCTTAAACTTAAACTTGGATGCTACACATGAAGTATTATAAATTTAGGTATTAATTGTATACAGAAAAAAAACAAAAAAGATAATTGTGAAATTAATTAATTTCACTAATAAATTAAAAATTAAAATGGATGGTGTAAGTATAAAATATAACAATCATGTGACGCATGTATGAGTTAGTGTAATGAAAGTTTTAACTCTTAGAGGTGACTTAATGATCAAATAAATCCATTTATACTAAAAATTATTATACATTCTTTAGAAATTATGCAAAAATTATATTGCAATTTGTAAAGAGTAACATATATTATATATTAAAATGTTAATTATAATAAAATATACATGTTTAAAACATTTCATAAAATTAGTGATTGAATATGAAACTAGGAGCTTAAAAGAAAAAAAATTATCGCGATAAGTCCAATATTAATTTATAAGTCTGTTTTATTACAAATAAACAATTATATTTTAAGTCGAATATAATAACTGATAAGACTTGATACAAATCTTATTTTATAAATAAGTTTATTTGAAGTTGAGTTAAAATTAAATATAAATAAGTTTATTTGATGTTGAGTTAAAATTAAAATTTAATTTTAATATGATATTATAGTTTATAAATGATCATTAGACTTAAGTCATTATGTTAATAAACCACACATAATTATAGTATCTTGGATGATGTTCAATTTTCAATATAAAGGTATGTATTAGTGTTTATAAACGATAAATATGACCAATTATAATATATATATATATATATAAAACTTGATTTCTGGTGTAAAATTTGACTTAAAATCTAATTCTAATAATGATCAAATATAATTGTAACAAAAGTAAATTAAAACAAAAATCAAGTTAGGTGTTAGAATTAACAATATTAGTATAATTGATTTGAATACAAAGAAACGAGATTCTTTTGTGAGGTTTGATTTCTATAATGATATTTTAGAAGTAATAATATTTTGAAAACAGTGAGATTTAATTATTTTAATATTAAAATATTTTAATATAAATAATTTTGTTACAAACGAGTTTTTTTAGTTTTAAAATATATTATTTTTTTAGAAAATATTTTTTTGAGTTTTTTTATTTCTTTCTAAGAGTTTTTCTTCTCTGCATGTCTGATTGAAGAACCGAGATAGTAAGTTTGATCCTTTCGGTGAACTTTTTAATATAAACATATTAGTTTCTTTGAATGCGTAAGTTGAATTTAAGCCTGTTTTCTTGGTCTTTTTCTGGTACCAGTTGCATGTGAATCTTCTTCCACTTGCATGAAGAGTTGATATGAAAATTAGGTTTTAATTGAATTACTTGGATGTTGTATAACGATATTGAGAAGTGTTGTTTGATTAATATTACAAATGAGATTAATTCAAATAATGTTTGGTATGTTTTGGCATCTGTGATTGTTGTTGGAGTGAATTTGTAGGGTTGTAATGACATAAATCTATAGAATTATTTTGTAGAATTATGCAGACTCGTTGATTGAGAATATACTAATTGGGTGAAGCCAAAGTAAGAGAGCTTCTGACTTGGTTGTCGCTAAACGAGGATATATTCGTTGGGCAAAGCCAAAGTCAAAGATCTTTTGACTTGGTTGTCGCTGAGCAAGGATATACTTATTGGGCGAAGCCAGGGTCAGAGAGCTTCTGATTTGGTTCTTGTTGAGCAAGAATATACTCCTTGAGCGAAGTCAAAGTTAAAGAGCTCACTAACTTGGTAGTAGTTGGATGAGATAGGTCTTGTTAGGTGACTTTTGGGGAGGATTTAAATTTGTGAGTTTTATGATAATTTCCGTGGACGAGCTATCTGTTTGTTGGATGAGTAGGCCTTCAAGCACTACTCGTTGAGTGAATGATAATTGTCAAAAATTACATATATTGAGCAATTATTTTCATCTTCTTTGATGTATTATGGAGTAAAATCTCATGAAAAGTTGTATAAAATATAATTGATTTTATATCAATATGAGTATTTTTGTGTGTTTATTTCGCAATAGAATAAGGATTGGAAAATATCAAAGAGACCCTACGTGCATCTGTAGCCCAACCAGAGGGAGCAGATTGGCCTGCAGAAGTAGTCACTCGCCCAACGACCAAGACCCAGTCGCCCAGCGACCAGGACCCAACGACCAGGATGCTCTAGCCTAGCGAGTGGTGACTTTTTGCACTCGCCCAGTGACTCGTACAGCTCGCCCAATGACTCGTACAGCTCGCCCAACGACCCGTATAGCTCGCCCAACGACTGAACACTTAATCAAAACTCTTTAAAGACGTGAAACAGAGGCAGAGGGGGAAGTTCTGAATTGTGGGAACACTGCAGGCCTCTGCCAACTCGAGTTTGGAGGATTCTAGGGCACAAGAACACCATTTTTCATCATCCAATCCATCCATTTCCTTCCATCTTGCTTCCATGATGTCTAGAAGTAGCTAAAACTCCATTTCATTGGGGTTGAAAGTAATGTATCAAAACTCTATGTAAACTTTGTTGTTCTATGTTAATATTTGATGAATCTTTTGTTCTATGCTTGTTATTCATGCTTAATGATGGAAATCTGAGCCATTAGAGTGATTTGAATCATTGGGAAATGCTAGGATCACGGACATAGGTAGAACAACCAGTAGAACTTAATCCTAGACATAGATTGAGGACTTTTGGGCATCAATAACATCGGTCTTAATGCAAATCTGAATTCTAAGGGATTAGAGTTTCTATAAAAAGATTTAGAGCTTGTCATCTGAGGAATTGGAGACTTGTCTGCTTATGATGTTGATGCATGATTTTTGAGGAATTATATATGATAGTAAAGAGCACTGAGTTTTGAACATGAGATTCAACCCCGATGAACCTAAACTCAACTGTTTCTACCACTTTGTATATCTGTATTTTAATCTATATTGTGTAGAAAAATACATTTGATAATCATATTTGATGCTAAATTAGTAAACTTTCACAATTAGCGAACCAAACAAATCTCTTGGGAAACGATATTCGGACTTACCGGTTTATTACTTGAACGATTCGGTAGGCTTGCCAAGATCTCAACAAGTTTTTGGCGCCGCTGCCGGGGATTTGTTTTTGTTTTTGCCGATTGTGTGTTGTTTATTTGATTTACTTGATTTTAGTTATTTGTTTGTACTTGTTATTGTGATTGTATTTAAATTTTTATGCATAATTGTTGTCATCTGTAGAAATTGTGTTTTTCTAGTTTGTGTTTTGTATGAGAAGCAGAGAACAGGCTGAAAATCTACTTTTTGATCCGGAAATTGAAAGAACTTCTCGAAGGAACAACAGTAGAAGGAGGAGACAAAGTAGAGAAGCCAGAGAAGCCTTTGTTATTTCTGAAGAAATTCTGGACTCTTCATCTGATCTAGAAAAAGAAGAAATGGAAGATAATCGTACTGGAGAAGGTTCTGGGCAAGGAAGACGCACTCTTGCAGATTACAATACTTTCTCAGGACCTCTACACTTCAATAGTATTTCAAGACTAGTGGTGAATGTTGCCAACATGGAGATGAAGCAAGCTCTTATTCATCTGGTGCAGAACAATCAGTTTCATGGATTGTCCCACGAAAATCCATACACTCACTTGGCTACTTTTATGGAGATTTGTAATACAGTGAGGATTCACCAGGTTCCAGATGAAGCTATTTGTCTCAGTTTATTTCCTTTCTCATTGGCTGGTAATGCAAAGATGTGGCTGAACTCTTTTCCAGAGAATAGTTTGACTGTTTGGGATGATGTGGTTGCCAAGTTTCTGAATAAGTTCTTCCCCCAGTCAAAAGTCAATAAAGGGAAGCAAGAAATTTCTTCTTTTCAGCAGGATATTGATGAAGCTCTGGGTCAAGCATGAGATAGATTTAAAGGCCTATTGAGGAAAACTCCCAATCATGGATTTGATGAGCCTACAATAATCAATTTGTTCTTGGGAGGACTCAAGTCTCAAACAAAGTTAATGTTAGATGTCTCAGCTGGAGTTAATATCAGATGGAAGACACCCGATGAAGCACATGAACTGATTGAGAACATGGCTGCAAATGATAATGAAGTTCAGAGTGAAAGAGCTCAGTTTCAACAGAAAGGTGTTCTTCAACTTCAATCTCAAGATGCCTTGCTAGCTTAGAACAAGATTATGACTCAGCAACTTGAGACATTGATGAAGAAGTTATCTCAGCTACCTAAAGAACTGCAGAATGTTTCTCAAGCCCAACATCAGATTGTTCAAAGCTGTGAATTATGCGGTGGAGATCACAACAATGGTCAATGTGTAGTGTAGAGCATGTCTCATGAACAAGTGAATTATATGGAAAATCAAGGTCGCCAAATGGATTTTAATCAAGGTCAAAATTTTAATCAAGGCTGGAGACCTCATTCGAGTATGGGACAAGCTGGTTCGTCCAATAGACCACCTCCACAAAACTTCCAACAATATCCTACTCTGACAGAAAGAACTTCAAAACTGGAAGAAACTCTTCAGCAGTTTATGCAGGTATCAATCTCCAATCGCAAAAGTACTGAAGCTTCAATTCGTAACTTGGAGATTCAATTGGGCCAACTAGCTAAGAAGTTGGAAGAAAAACCTGAGAAGAAATTTGTGGCTAACACTGAAGTTAATCCAAGGGAGGAGTGTAAAGTCATCACTACAAGGTCAGGAAGGGTGTTAGAAGAAAGAGGGCATGAGAGAGAAGAGAAAGAAAGCGATGAGGGGAGTGCTGAGAAGAAAGAAAATAAGAGAGATGAGATGAGTGAAGAAAAAGATGAGAAGAGTGAAAAGGAAGAAGAAGAAAAAGAGAGAGAAGATAAAG